GCCGGCGCGTGAGCTTCTGGTGGCGCGTGGAGGCGCGTGAGGAGGAGGCTGCCGGAGTTTTTCACTGGGGTTTGGTCGCCGGACAGTGACGACTCTTGTGGTAGTGTTGGATTTTGCACAACACTGACAGAAATGAAGCAGATAGAAAACAGCCTTAAAAAATACTGATTTCTCTTTCCCGGAATCGCTGGAATTTATGCACAGCGATTTCTCTTTCCCGGAATCGCTGGAATTTATGCACAGCGATAAGTCTCTCACAATTGCTCTGATACCATGTGAGAAGGCACGGGAGAAAATATGTTATTGATAGTGAATGAACAATACAATACGAGAGGTCCTTACTTATAGCTATACTATACAAGGACATACTACTCTTCTACCAATGTGGGACAATACTATACTATATACATGTTGTAAACTAACAGATTTTAATAAGAGGAAAACATCTTGAAATGGAACAACTATGCGTCTTAAAAAGTTTTTATTACTTCCATTTTTCACCTAGCTTCATAACCTTGGAATGGGACTAATATCATATAAGAAATATGCATATCCTTTATCCCAATTTGATGGCACAGATTAACTTTTCTTTGGGAAACTTTTTTATTTTCAATGTGCATTCTTTGTATGTTATAATAACAATTAGAAAATATAATCATCAATTTGACTGGAACTTATAAAATGAATTTTAATTGGTCAAGTATCATTATTGAAATCTTGAACTACTTGATATTGATTTCAATTCAGTTTTGATTTTTTTTACCAACAAATATTAAGTTGTGTGACTTAAAATTTGATGGAGGGGTTAAGTTTCAGGTTCCCTTGAAATCTTATGCGGTAAAGTTTTAGAACTAACATGTGGAATAAAAGAGTGAAAGATAGAAGTATTGTGTGACTTCATTTTTAGTGGTTGATACTTGTTCAATTAGGTTGTATTGATTAGCGATGGCCGGTCTAGTAACAACTGGAATGATTCTGAACAATTTTTTCATCAGCTCAACTGAAAGAAGATTCTTCTAGAATTACCTCTGGGGCTTTGATCTAGTGGTAAGAGCGCAATGCATAGTGTGGGTTAGGCGCATGTAACGAGTGCCACAGACAAAATCCTAGTATTTAAGTGGAGAAGAGTAGAAGGGTGGGCTCATTAGCCAGTGAGTTTTTGAATCGTGCATCAACTAGCCCTCCGAAATTTCTCGATTATCAAAAAAAAAAGAAGGAAGATTCTTCTTTTAGTGTGATTGATAGGAGGATCATAATTTTGTATGAGAAGTGAGGATGCGTTTCCTGCTTATTCACTTCAAAGTAGTTGGTACTTGTCACTAGATACACTTCACCCATGGTTAAAGAGTTTGTCTTAATCTAGCATCTGCAAAGGTTTGTATCAAACTGGATCTTCTTTATCTGCCAAATCTTTCTATGTAATGGTACGGTACATTTCTTGCTATGAAGTGATCTTATATGGGTTTTCTTTGTTAGTGAATGTTAAGGTGATGAATCATGTACATGCAAATATTAAGCTCCATGTTATTCCCAGCTGTGCAGCGTACAAGCGAGCATTTTCTTTATTGAGCCTTTAGCGTTTATGATGTATGTGCTTGATATTTTTATGGGATTGCGGTGCGTTGTAATATTTAAAACATTAAAGATGACTATCTAGCACTTCATGTGGTTTGAACAATTAAACGAAAAGTGTGCAAGGCCCAAAACTTGCAGATTAGTCACCATAATTATGAAGTTGGTGAATTTACAATTCGTGAGTAAAGTTGTGGAATGGTGTACTCTGATGTTTGCCGTTTCTTGAGACAACTTTCTTATTTGCATTATTATGAGTTTGACATCATTATAATATTGTTTGCTTCTGATCTCAACAGCCAGAAAATACTATCCTTCTAGACAACGACTCACCCTGCCTGTCCAACCTGGGTCAAAAGAGAGGCCAACTGTTCTTCACTACAAGAAGAGTCTCAATGAATATATTAATGGGGGCACGAATGAGTTAACCATAGTTTTCAAGGATCTTGGTCCGCAGGTTAAGTATAGTACACTTTTCTTCTGGGAGTATCTAGGTCCTCTGGTACTCTATCCTATCATTTACTACTTTCCAGTCTACAAATTTTTCGGCTACAAAGAAGAACGTGTTATCTACCCTGTCCAGACATATGCCATGTATTACTGGTGTTTCCACTACTTCAAACGGATCATGGAGACCTTTTTTGTGCACCGGTTCAGCCATGCCACTTCTCCACTTTCCAATGTTTTCCGGAACTGTGCCTATTATTGGTCTTTTGGAGCTTTCATTGCTTACTATGTGAATCACCCTCTTTACACTCCTGTAAGCGATCTCCAGATGAAGATTGGATTTGGTTTTGGGTTAGTTTGCCAAGTTGCAAACTTCTATTGCCATTTATTGTTGAGAAATCTCCGAAGTCCCAGTGGTAATGGAGGTTACCAAATACCATACGGCTTCTTGTTCAATATTGTTACCTGTGCCAATTACACAACGGAGATCTACCAGTGGTTGGGCTTCAACATTGCTACTCAGACAGTTGCAGGCTATGTCTTCATGGTTGTTGCTGCTAGCATTATGACAAACTGGGCCCTTGGAAAGCATCGTCGTTTGAGGAAGGTAATCATTTGACCACATTCTTCTAAAACATAAGGAACAAAAAGAACATTTTTACCAATTGAAAACAACAGTATGCATTCCTTTAGGCTATACATGCAATTGCATCTACATTGAGGCTTGTTGACTGCCCAAGTCTTCTTATATCAATGGGCTTCAATTCGAAAGTATACGGTGCTACTTTGAATGGAAGATTATCTATTCCATCAGCTTCTTGTCGCTGATGCACTGCACTTCCCCCTGCGCGCAAGGGGGTGGGGTGGGGGTTATAAACCTAAGGAAAGAAAATAGAAACTTATTCCTCTATGAGTTATTTGCTTATTTTCATAGTTGACAGTTCAAACTTAACACGGTTTGCTTTAGAGAGAATCTAAACTGTATGCACGAGTACTACACTACAAATAAGATGGAAAACTTCCTGCCAAATTTAGTTTGCCTTTTATTCGGATAGGACGGCCAATGTGTTACTTTGCTCATTGAATTTTATTTATATGCTACTACGCTGGACAGTGAATATTTTAGACCAATTAACAGAACTGCTAACAAGCAAGATGTGTGCTTTACTGCTTTATGCAAATATTCATTTGTGCTTATCAGGAAGCTTCTATTTTTATAGTGTCATTTGTTCTGGTTCTTAGCTTTGGCACCTTTTCTTTGCAGCTCTTTGATGGAAAGGAAGGAAGACCAAAGTATCCTCGGCGATGGGTGATATTGCCTCCTTTCCTTTAGAAATGTGGGGAAGCCGGAGAATTGTTCATTTAGTTGCCCATTTTCTGTGAACCTGCAGCTTTTGAAGGTTTATGTTTCTCATTTAAGGATTTAATACTTCATCAGATTTTTCCCTTGGTTCTCTTGTATTTCTGTTCCATGTCTTAGCTTCTTTTTAGACCAGACGATGTTTGAGTGAGTTCATTTTTGTAGTTCTCACTTCTTTGTGATGTTTTCAAAAACCATCTTTGTTACCCTCAGTTGTTGGATTAATCTATTGTTTATGACAGTGATCTTATAATAGTTTGCAAGGAATTTACATGTATATAACAAGTTCTGAAACTTACATGCGTCGTACGGGCAGAGGTGGATGCAGCCTTTCTATAGTAGGTTCAACTGAACCTAGCATTATCGACACAGAACATAGCTATATATGTAGAAACCACCAACTTTTCAATAAATATTAAATCTTGAGCCCATAATTATAGGTACAATGAGTTTATTCTAAGAACTTTGTAGGTTGAACCCATTAAGTTTAAACCAATCCGATCTAGTTTTCTAGTGTTATCAGGAGAGCATCTGATTTTATACTGGTAGGACAAAGCTATTTCTCTTTGATAAGGCTGTTCCTCAGTCATAACTCATTACTGAGCAGTGTCTGGTTTACAAACTAAATATGATGGGAATTCAAAAACACGATTTTTTTTTCATGGAATTAGAAGTGTAAATTGCCGGTAAAATAGGTATTTAACAATCAAAAGTTCTGAGAAATCTAGTTGAGTGACCTTCTAAGTGGTATAAGCATAGTTAAGCGAGTTTTCTGTTACATACAAATGAAAAATGACTTTACTAATTACTAGATAATTCAGATAGATTGAAACACATATACCATCTATACCATCTGAATAGATATAGATAATAATTCAGATAAGTGCTCAAAGAAAATGTTTGATCCTTTGGTTGAACATTCCCAGCTCAAAGGGTAAGAGATGACAACTGTAGGTTGAGGAAAAGTGAAGTTTCTAAGTTGGATTGACATGTGCTTGGGTAGTGCAATTGCTGTATTAACTGCTTTAATCATCAGAAGAGAAAAAAGGCAAATGTCTTTAAGACAATCACACATGGGTTTTGCATCTTTGGAAGGCTTTAGAAAAAGCTAGAATGGGCATAGAGTATGACCCCCACACCCTCTTTTTAATTTATATAAAGTTCAATCTTGCGCTTACTTAAACTATTTTATAGATGGCATCTTACCTCCTACATAACTATCAAATAATTCTAATTTATCAAGAGAAATCGCCTACGTCTTTTTGCTTTTGCCGGAATTTAATTACGAATTTTCTATGATTTTCACTCATTTCATTCGCAATAAATCTAGATTGTTAGGTGCTGACCCCATACTTTCTTTGTTAACTGACTTTCCAACTATGAATTCTGTACTTCTACTCAAAAAAGGGGGAATGAGATTTTACAGACACTCCTCATGCTCATTGGGTTTAAGATTTTCAAGATCCATGATTCCATATTTTATTAATTGAGATTTGGTATCATTAACAAACAGGTCTTTTCAGCTTTAAGAGAAAGTAGTAATCTGTCATTTCATGCTATTAAATTGCCATTTTAATATCTCCTAGCTCTTTATTGGCTTTGACATTTCAGGTCCTATTTGTTAATCAAGCATGGTAGATAGGGGGGACGGGTTGGGACCAACCTTCTATTTCGGTGAACAATGTTCCACTGATTAACCCAGACCCGCTCGTGAGAGACTATTGAGTTTGTTGTTGTAGTGTTCCACTGATTAGGCGGCGATAGAATTTGAACCTCGAGGCGCATTTTAGATTTTTGTATTTAACACAATAATGTAACATTTTTTCGTCACTTATTCCTAGTTTATAAGTATATCTATCAAAGTTTTTGGAACACTATCTGTTTTCAATCATATTCTCTTAAAGAAGATATTTAATAGCAATCACAAAAATATTGGTTTAACTATCCTCTATCTCTCGTATTAATACTTAATTAACACTCTATTGTTTGGAACAATGAGGATAGATTTAGAAAAATAAAGTAATAATAGTTTCTTGTTTTTTCTAAAAATCCAAATATCTTAGAATAAAACGGCAAAAATTTGAGACCGGAAGAAGTAATAACTAATAAAAGGAGTCATATTAGGTTTGAATCTTAACAAAACCATCATTATGAAGCTAACTCTCATATTGAGTAACTTTGGCTGGTTGTTGCCTTGAAGGTAAGTTGAATTTCAATTAGTGCGCGCGCGCACATATATATATATAAAAGTAACATCTACTTTGCAAGAATAAGTTAATGTCTTTTTCTTTTTTGAAAGGGATTGAAAACTGGAATTTTTTAAAAAATTCTTCAACTTTTTTAAAAAAACTAATGATGCGGAATTATCAGGAAAAAACAACAAAATGGATAAAATGCACAAACACGAACTGGAAAATCTTACTTAGAGACTGTTTCCAATAGATACTCGGCTCAAGAAAAGCATAAGCATAACAGTAACGGGGAAGAAAAACAACAGAGTAGAAGCCATGAGAACGAATTAGTAACCGCAGGATAATAAGCTGACCGAAATGAAAAACAACACGTAGTAATAAGAACCTAAGAATATGAAAATACGAAAATATATACTAATACTATTCATATAGAAAGAAGAATGCGCGATTACCTAGTAATCTCCTGACCTAATGTTATATTGAAATGTTATGGACTTTTATATTTGAGCAAAGGTGTCTGTATCTTAATATTCCATAGAACATGCACCCCCTTTTTCCTTTTCCGAACATGCACCCCTTTAATTATAAAAACTATTCGAACTTATTGGTCCAAGAGATACGTTTTAATTTGTTTTTAATTATTTGTGAGAGATAATATAGATTTTCTTCCACCTAATTTGACAAAGTTTCAAATCTTTGTGAGAGATAATATAAGAACAATTTATGAATAATTGATTGGAGTATAAGTAATATACAGTGTAAGAAATTTTTACAGTATTATGTTATATTTATTTGTTGTAGCAGGTAATTTATAACAAATTTTACATTTTAAGAAAATTATCTATAGATATATTTAGGTGACCTGATATTGTATATTTAATCTATTTAAATATTCGGCAAAGGGCCAAATATACCCCTCTATTTTTGAAAATGGTCTAAGAATATACCTCGTTATACTATTGGGTTATCTATACCCCTGCAGTCATACTTTGGGCTCAAATATACCCCTCATTTAAACGGCGGGACATGTGTCATCATCCTGTTGGTCAATTCTAAATATCTTCTAATTAATTAAAAAGACTCATTAATCATACCCGAAAAGCAATTTTTTAAAGCAATTTTTTTTGTAAAAACTAGAAAAAACTAAAATTATTTTTACTAAAAACTGAAANCCCCCCCAATTGAAACGGAGGGACACGCGTCATCGTCCTGTTGGTCAATTCTAAATATCTCCTAATTAATTAAAAAGACCCATTACTCATACCCAAAAAATAATTTTTTTTTGTTGTAAAAACTGGAAAAAACTAAATTTTGTTTTTTTACTAAAAACTGAAAAAAACGAAAATATTTTTTTTTCAGTTTTTACAAAAAAACTGCTTTAAAAAACTGAAAAATATTTTCTAAAACAATATTTTTGTAAAAACTGGGAAAAAAAACTGAAAAGCAATTTTCTAAAGCAATTAAAAACTGAAAAAAACTAAAATATTTTTAACTAAAAACAGGAAAAAAAAAAAGAAAAAGAAAGAAAATATTTGTTTTTTCAGTTTTTACAAAAACATTGCTTAAGAAAATTATTTTTTAGTTTTTATTTTCAGTTTTTACAAAAATATTGCTTTAGAAAATATTTTTCAGCTTTTTTAAAAGCAGTTTTTTTGTAAAAACTGGAAGAAAAAAAATATTTTTATTTTTTTCAGTTTTTAGAAAAAGAAATTCAGTTTTTTCCAGTTTTCACAAAAATATTGCTTTAGAAAATTAATTTTCAGCTTTTTGTTTTCAGTTTTTACAAAAACATTGTTTTAGAAAATATTTTTCAGTTTTTTCTAAAGCAGTTTTTTTGTAAAAACTGAAAACAAAAAGCTGAAAATTAATTTTCAGCTTTTTGTTTTCAGTTTTTACAAAAACATTGTTTTAGAAAATATTTTTCAGTTTTTTCTAAAGCAGTTTTTTTGTAAAAACTGGAAATTTTTTTTTTTTTTTTCAGTTTTTAGTAAAAATAATTTCAGTTTTTACAACAAAAAATTACTTTAAAAAATTATTTTTCGGGTATGGGTAATGGGTCTTTTTAATTGATATTTAGAATTGACCAACAGGACGATGACGCGTGTCCCTCCGTTTAAATGAGTGGTATATTTGAACCCAAAGTATGAGTGCAGGGGTATAGATAACTCAATAATATAACGAGGGGTATTCTTAGACTATTTTCAAAAGTAGAGGGGTATATTTGCCCTTTACCGTTAAATATTCATATAGATTGAAAGGATATGATATAAATAGTATGAGAAACCATCAATCTGTCAAGCATCTTCTTGGAACTTTATAAAGAAAACAAAAAGTTACATTGAAACGTTCACATTTTCAGCTAATTCACATAATTAAGTGTTGGTTGATTCGGGAATATAATTAACCTAATTAAGACGTTTTACAATGTATTTCCATAATATCTGAAAGCTGTTTTCAAAAGTGTTACAAAAATCTGAAAACAAATGAAATAGTAGGTGCTAAGAAATTTTAACCAGGGAAAAATGAGAAATGCCCACATCGATGTATAAAGTATAACAAGCACATAACTCAACCGCAACAACATATGCAGTGTATTTCCACCAGAGACGAATACACAGTATAGAAAAAAGGGTCACCGGTGCGGCACCCGGTAATTTCGACAAAATCTCCATGTATACTAACAAATATCTTTAAGAAATAGTCAGATATTAGCATAGGCTCACGTACCAATTTTTATGACTAGTGATAAATTTATATTGACTGTCATGGTGCCCCGTGACCGGCGACCACCAAATTCTAGGTCCGCCTTTGATTCCCATAAGTGGAGTCTAAGAAGTATAATGTGTACGCAGACCTTACCAAAATCCTGTATAGGTAAAGAAATTATTTCCGATAGATATTCGGCTCATAATCACAGCAGTAAAGAAAATGAAATAGTAGGTAATAAGAAATTTTAATAAGGGAAAAATGAGAAATGCCCACATCGATGTATAAAGTATAACAAGCACATAACTCAACTGCAACAACATATCCAGTGTATTTCTACCGGAGATTAATACACAGTATAGAAAAAAGGGTCACCGGCACCAGGTAACTTTGGCAAAAGCTCCATGTATACTAGAAAATATCTTTAAGAAATAGCCAGATATTAGCATAGGCTCACGTACCAATTTTTATGACTAGTGATAAATTTATATTGACTGCCATGGTGCCTCGTGACAGGCGACCACCGAATTCTAGGTCCACCTTTGATTCTCACAAGTAAAGTCTAAGAAGAATAATGTGCACGCAGATCTTATCCAAATCTTGTATAGGTAAAGAGGTCATTTCCGATAGATCGTTGGCTCATACAAGAATAATATAGCAGTACAGAAAATGAACAAGCACATATATGACTCTATTGTCGTGAAATTGTATTCTTTCTTTGAGGAGTCAAAAATATTTCATAATGCATACGTTCGGTTAGGCATAAACTTTAATTTTTCGTATTGCTTTGTTAACTAAGGTCTAAGTACAAAGAAAAGATAAATAAAACAATTTTTACAAATCTAATTTTGAGAGAATATATGAAAGAAAAAAAATCTACGTCTTTATTTGCAGGAAGAGAAAATGAGAGAAAAAGCGAAATGGGAGGGACTCGGTGGGGACCACTAAATGATAGCCCCCACGATGTTTCAATGATGTCCGTTTATCCAGACTGTTAATAGATCCAACGGCTGAGATTTATTCTCCATTTTCAATATAACCCCTCCATTTTTTCTCCTATCTCCGCCAAATAATAGGGGAGGAATACAATTAAGCACTTCCCATTTTCATTCCTTTGTCTCTCTCTCAACTCCCGCTCTTCAATTCTAAGCTCCAAAAGGTACAATTCAATCTGCATTTCCCTTTAAATCTTTATTTTCCTTTGTGTTTTTAATTTGTTGTTATATTCTTTTGGTTCCTGCCTTGATTTGAATTTGATTTATGTGAATTCTGATTTAAGGAACTATAACTGCTTTGAGATTACTTCTGATAAAGTTATCTGACTTGGGTAAAGATGCTAGATTTTAAAGGATTTTCTGTGTTTGATAATATCTTTTAAAATAATATTCTTATAGAATCAATATTTAGAAACGTTGAGTGCTAGAATAGAGAGGCAATATATAGATTATAGACACAGGCAGAGCAAGGATTTGAAATTATGGGTTCAATATTCTAATTCGTTTTAAGTTGCTGGGTTCTAAATTAATAAAATGTGCATAATTCAATAATTTTTTAAGACAACTACAGGGTTTGGACAAAAGTTACTGGATTCAGCCGAATCTGTATTCGAAGGGCTAGCTCCGCCCCGGATTATAGAAACCTAATTATAATATTTCAAGTTGTATATTTTTACTAAAGATTCAATTTTTAATGCAGGAAGTAGCATAAGATGGCAGAAGGTGAGGATATTCAGCCCCTCGTCTGCGACAATGGGACAGGAATGGTTAAGGTAAGCTCAAGATTTGTGGTACCCCAACCTATGTTGCTCGGATCCTTCAAAAATGTCACCAGGTTGTGTGTCGGGTCCTTCAAAATTTATTCATTTTTGGAGGATGCGACATAGGTGTGGTGGCATTTTTGGAGATCCTAGCAACATTGACCACAACAGAGTTAATGTTCCATTATGTCATTTGATGATACTTATTAACATTTGAGCTGTTATCCTTAAGAAAGTTAAAGAGATTCTGATGTAAGTTTAATATCTAGGCTGGGTTTGCGGGAGATGATGCCCCGCGAGCTGTATTCCCTAGTATTGTTGGCCGTCCCCGTCATACTGGTGTGATGGTTGGCATGGGTCAAAAGGATGCCTATGTAGGAGATGAAGCTCAATCGAAGCGTGGTATCTTAACTTTGAAATACCCAATTGAGCATGGTATTGTCAGCAATTGGGATGATATGGAGAAGATATGGCATCATACATTCTATAACGAGCTTCGTGTTGCCCCGGAGGAGCATCCGGTCCTCCTAACCGAAGCACCTCTTAACCCTAAAGCTAATCGTGAAAAAATGACCCAGATTATGTTCGAGACTTTTAATACACCAGCTATGTATGTTGCTATACAAGCTGTTCTCTCGCTCTATGCCAGTGGTCGTACCACCGGTAAGCAAATTGTCATTTGTCAGCATATCTATTTTTTGACTCTCAAATTTCTCATGTTTCTACTATTAAAAGGACCTTTTTATTATGTCTGAAGCATGGTAAACACAATTATTGATCTGGTGAAAAAAAAGAATAAAATGAAAGAAAAGCCTACATCTCATGCATTGAACCGATGCACATAGCACAGTTTTCATTTATATCTACCGGACTACTATGTTTTGGCCACAGATTGCAAGAACCAATTTTTTTCTGGTTATATGTTTCCTTGCTTTTTGTCTATAAAGCAAAATAGGATTAGTCCATTCATTATCTCGGATAGGCAAGATTCAATTCACCTTGTTTGGAGATATTTGAGACGCAAACCTAGTACTATTTCGCTGCCTTGTTGTGAAGAATTCTGGTAATTGCTGCTAATTCATTATTTTTCTACAGGTATTGTGTTGGACTCTGGTGATGGTGTTAGCCACACAGTCCCAATTTATGAGGGGTATGCCCTCCCACATGCCATTCTTCGTCTTGACTTGGCAGGTCGTGACCTCACTGATAGTTTGATGAAGATCCTCACAGAGCGTGGTTACTCATTCACCACCACAGCTGAGCGAGAAATTGTTAGGGACGTGAAAGAAAAGCTTGCTTACATAGCCCTAGACTATGAGCAGGAACTAGAGACTTCAAAGACCAGCTCTTCTGTGGAGAAGAGCTATGAGCTTCCCGATGGGCAAGTGATTACCATTGGTGCTGAACGTTTCCGGTGCCCTGAGGTCCTTTTCCAACCATCAATGATCGGAATGGAAGCAGCTGGAATCCACGAGACCACATACAACTCTATCATGAAGTGTGATGTCGATATTAGAAAGGACCTCTATGGAAACATAGTGCTCAGCGGTGGTTCTACCATGTTCCCAGGTATTGCTGATAGAATGAGCAAAGAAATTACTGCATTGGCTCCCAGTAGCATGAAGATTAAGGTAGTCGCACCACCAGAGAGGAAATATAGTGTCTGGATAGGAGGCTCTATCTTGGCTTCCCTCAGCACCTTCCAACAGGTTTGCATCTAACTCCTCCTTGCTCTCGTAAAGAAAACGAGCCTCGCCTTTTTTGCTTGGACAGTTTCTGACTTTGGGTTTTCTGTTTGTCTTTTGTCTGCAGATGTGGATTGCAAAGGCAGAGTATGACGAATCAGGTCCTTCAATTGTCCACAGAAAGTGCTTTTGATTATCCGAGGACAATGTTGATAACGGGAGATTACTTTCTTCTACTGGAACAGAATGCAGCTTGTGGTGTTATATTTTGTCTTTGTTTTCTGTATTTGTTGTTCTCATTTTGGATTGAGGAACTTGAGAGGGCAAAGAGTTGATTGTTGGATGATCTTATTCTTTTATTTTTGTTCATTTAGAAGTTTCAAACTGTTCCATAATATACTTCCCTTGCTGTGTGTCTTCCTTCTCGCCCCCCGTACCCACGCCACGGTCCTCTTGAGATGATTGGGGAAAGATTACCAGAAAACTGTATCTAAACTCGTTTATCAAATATTTTTAAAACCCCCTTATTTATATCTCGATTTCTGGACATGTTTGTTATAGCTTCATGTTAGTTTGACTTATACCAGAATTCTGCTAAAAGAAGTCTGTCATAGCTTTTGCAACTGAGAATTTGTCTTCAGATAACAGTTCCCAATCAAGGCTAGAGCACTACCCTTTGAACTCCCTAAGATTCAACGTTGCATTACGATGTGATAAGGACAATATAGCCCGTTTGGCCAAGTTTCTTCAAGACCAAAAGCACTTCTTTTTTTCAAAAAAAATGTTTTTTTTTTCAAATTTGAAGTGTTTGGCCAAACTTTTTGAAAAAAAAAAGTGCTTTTGAGTAGAAGCGTTTTTTAAAAAACAGAAAAAAGTAATTTTTTCCCAAAATCACTTTTCTGAAAAATACTGAGAAAAACTTATTGCTGCTCAGAAGTGCTTTTCAAATTAATTAGTCAAACACAAAGTGCTTTGATATGAATATGTAGTTTCACAAAAATGAATACGGATGATGATCCCATACCATGGCATATGATACATCACTATTTGTATCACTTTTAGCTGCCAAATTATGTGAAGAGCACTTCCAAACCTTAGCTTGCAAAGAAATACATTGCCTGAAGCCATGATGCCTTCTCTTGCTTTGCCAATCATTGATATCAGGTTGCTTCTCTTATAGTGGCTTCTTTCATATCGCTCAAGGGTGTGGTGGAATACAATGTTGGAATCTCATATGTAAAAAATTTAAATTCGGATGTTTTTGTTTAGATTTTATCTTTACATGAAAAGTGGCTAAATTTCAATTACTTTTGAATCTATGACTATTTTTCAATTGCCAGTTGTAAATCTAGCTATTTCTGATTTTTCCCCATAATTTCCGGATACAGAATGCTTGGAGCCAAAAAAACAAAAACAAAATAACTACTACTAAAAGTAGTCTTCCAGTGAGTTGTCTAAACCCACTGCTTTTGGCTCCAACATTGTATATATACATTTGAAAATCTATTAAAATCATATATTTTAAGAGAACAGAACCTACTACTCAACTCTCGTTAGAACTCCAAATCCATTGACTACATCTTAGATTAGCAACCTGCTACCTGAATCTTGCCTTTTGAGTAACATGCAATAAAAGAAAACCATATCTGCTTGGATTTCTGTGGGGAAGGATTGTTCTAATCTTGGTATTAATCAACAAAAATGTAAATGGAAAAGAGTTCTCGAGTTTGACTGCCTTTATTAAATCCGCGTAAGATGGAAATGTAACTATTTTTATTGATGTAAACATGTAACAAACATCAAATAACATGGATTTGCATATATAATGAGTAGTAAATGAAGTAACTTTGAGATTAATAGAATGATTAGAAAGTTAGACATTTGATAAGAAATTCTATAGATAAAATGCAACTTCACAGATTAAGTTCCATCTTTCAATTTCATTAGCTCCTTTTTGTGTGTGTGCGTGTATATTTCCATTTATCAAGACCTTTAACGTATACACGCCCTCCAATCTCAAATATTAGCCGTTAAGCTAAGTGTACAGATAGTCCAATATTTATATATGCATTCTAAGTTAAGTGTACAGATAGTCCACATAAATCCTATTTTCACTTGGGGAGTCATTTAAATGTGAGTAAAAATTACCAATACAAAACAAAGCGCCTTGCGAAGTCAAATAATATGTCGAGTAGTACTTAATAGGTGTATTACTCACCATTATAGCTTACATACTAACACAAGCGGATTATCCCAACATCAACAACAACTACGACTCAGTCCCAAGCAAGTTGGAGTTCCAACAGGATACTCAAAACAATACCAAGGAACAGAGACGGGGAAAGAAAAAGAGAGGACAATCGGGTCCCTTGCAAACCAAGAAAAGAAATACTGCACTAAAGCTCTGTATATAGATTCATATAAGAGACTCAGAAACATGAAACACTGCCAGTGCAGAAGTACAAGTTGCCTATGTTAAGGTGATCCTCATAATAGGTTATGTCCAGCAAAAGGAAAAGGTTAGCCTTCAATAGTCATGCTCATTCAAAGAAACTCAGCTACTACCAGTCGACTGATAATATGATGTAGTGCAAGAAAAGGTTAGATGTCCTAAAACAAGTACTTCTAAATTATGAAGCAATAGATGTGTTACGAGGCTCCAAGTCGAGTATTATTCCAAATAGAGTTGCCTGAAAATAAAGTGGACTCAGCTGTAGATTTTCCAGATGCCAGTTCTATAACCCAAAGACATGATTGCCAACTCCCACAACATGTTTGGGATGCTTAAGAGATTGACTTTTGATCCAGGTATTTCTGTCCAATTAACAGATATCTCAATCATTGGAATCCGAAACCATTTGCATAAGTAGACTAGCTCAACATCAAAGCACCACCTGGGAAAAGAACACTAGTAAGTCCCTGATAACCAAAGTTAGAGATTGCGAGGAAAATAAAAAATAGTAGATGATAGCGAAAGAAACATAAACAAAAGCACAAATATACTTGGATTAGCAGACAGCATCACATGATAAATATTAGGTGTACAAAAATTTCAAGAATTTCAAGAGAGATGAAGAGAGATATGCCCTTTGCAACTAATGTTCAAGAATGTGATTTCCCAATGGCATTGCATATAGGGAAACTATTGAAATGTAAAATCAGGACATTAAAGCATTCTCTTCATTAAGATGTCCAGGAAGACATCAAGCGCAGCCCAGTGCACAAAGCATCCCGTATTCATGCAAGATCCGGGGAAGGGCTGCGCCTCAAGAGGTGTAATGTAGACAACCTACCATAACACAAGGATTAGTGGTTGCTTCCACACCTCGAACCCGTGACCTATACGTCACACAGGAATAACTTTACCGTTGCTTCAAGGCTCCCATTCATGTCCATGAAGACATCAAGTAGGAGAATTTCTCAAAAGATCCCAATACAAATCTAATTATCACATCCATTACTAAGTAGTTCTATTTGTGATGATTCTCAACAACCCAACAACAACAACAACCCATTAAAATCCCAGACCCGTCTGGGGAGGGTAGTGTGTACACAGACCTTACCCCTATCCCCATTGAGTAGAGAGGTTGTTTCCGATAGACCCTCGGCTCAAGAAAACGAAAAAGACGAAAGAAACAATAGACGAAAGAGACAATATATCAGTACCATCAACAGAAATCATAGAAATAATAAAGCATTATAAGAAACCAAAAAATAGTTGAAAAGCAATATAATAACCAGTAAAGAAAAACGGGAGAATAGTGAGAACACAACATAAACCACTAGAAATCTAAGACTAACCCTATCAGTCTATCCTCACACCCGGAACGAAGTAGAAAAATGCTCAACTATCTCCTAACCTACAACCCTAATGCTCGATCTACACACCTTCCTATCAAGGACCACGTCCTCGGAAATCTGAAGCTACACCATGTTCTGCCTGATCACCTCTCCCCAATACTTCTTAGGTCGCCCTCTACCTCTTCTCGTTCCCGTCAAAGCCAACCAACCGCTCACACCTTCTTACCGGGGTATCAGGGTTTCTCCTCCGCACATGCCAAACCATCTGAGTCTCGCTTGCCGCATCTTGTCAACTATAGGAGCCACGCCCACATTCTCCCGAATATCTTCATTCTTAATCTTATCCATTCTAGTGTGCCCACACATCCACCTCAACATCCTCATCTCTGCTACTTTCATCTTCTGTATATGTGAGTTCTTAACTGGCCAACACTTTATCCCATACAACATGGCCGGTCTAACCATCGCTCTATAAAACTTACCTGAGTATCTATGGCACTTTCTTGTCACACAGGACTCCAGCTGCTAAACTCAATTTCATCCAACCCACCCCTATATGGTGTGTGACGTCCTCATCGATCTCCCCGTCCTCCTGGATAACCGACCCCAGGTACTTGAAATTGCCTCTCTTGGGGATAACCTGTGATCCAAGCCTGACGTCCATGCCCGTCTCGCGTCTCATCAATCAGAACTATGTCATCAGCGAATAACATACACCATGGAACCTCCGCTTGAATATGTCGTGTCAGTGCGTCCATCACTAGGGCAAATAAGAACGGGTTGCGCGCAGATCCTTGATGTAACCCAATAACAACCGGAAAATGCTCTGAGTCGCCTCCCACTGTCCTAACCCGAGTCTAAGCTCTGTCATACATGTCTTTGATCGCTCTAATGTAAGCTACTGGCACACCTTTTACCTCCAGGCATCTCCAGAGAACCTCCCTAGGGACCTTATCATACGCTTTCTCCAGGTCAATAAACACTATGTGCAGATCCTTCTTCCTATCCCTGTATTGTTCCACCAACCTTCTAATAAGGTGGATAGCTTCTGTGGTCGAACGACCCAGTATGAACCCGAATTGATTGTCGGATATAGATATCGTCCTCCTCACCCTCACTTCCATCACCATTTTCCTAATTTTCATGGTGTGACTTAATAACTTGATACCCCTATAGTTGTTACAACTCTGTATATCACCTTTGTTCCTGTACAACGGTACCACCGTACTCCACCTCCACTCATCCAGGATCCTCTTCGTTCAGAAAATGACATTAAATAGCCCAGTCAGCCACTCCAAGCCTGCTCTACCCACACACTTCCAGAATTCTACCGAAATTTCGTCTGGCCCTGTTGCTCTACCCCTACTCATCTTATGCATAGCCTCCACGACCTGCTCAACCTTAATGCGCCTGCAATACCTAAAGTCTCGGTGGCTCTCCGAATGCCCCAAGTCACCTAGCACAATATCTCGGCCCCCCTCTTCATTTAGAAGTCTATGAAAGTAAGTCTGCCATCTCCGCTTAATCTGAGCCTCCCCCATCAATACTCTACCGTCCTCGTCTTTGATGCACCTTACTTGATCCAGATCCCGAGCCTTCCTCTGTCTCGCCTTA